AAAATGGGAGTTTCCGAATATTAGGGCTACCTTATTTTGGGGTCCTTATAATAAGGATCCTATTATTTGGGGTACTATATTAGGGTCCCCTATTTTCGGAAACCCCCAAATGGGCGAGGGAACCCAACCTGAAGCCCCCAGACACTCTAAGCTTAATCCCTAGGTCCCCAAAGCTCAAACAACCGAAATCCTCAGCCCGAACCGTAAACCCCCGTAACCCTGGGCCCAAGAGACAAAAAAACACCCGTGACACTGAGCCCCTAAGCCCTTAACCCACTAAACTCTTAAAGCCCTCAGCCCTAAAGCTCCTTAACCTTTAAACCCCTAAGTCTACACTAAAACCCATAAACCCTAAAGCCCTTAACCCTGAACCCTAAACCCTAAACCCTAAAACCCTAAAACCCTAAAGCCCTAGAGCCCTAAAACCCTAAAACCCGAGAGCCCTAAACCCTTCATGAGGCCGTCACGTTCAACAAGCTTACTTACTCCGTGCCCGTGAAGAAGTCCAAGGTCCCCGAGACCTTTCCAGGGTTTAGGGTTTAGGGTTTAGGGGTTTAATCTGTAGGGGCCTTTAATGATTAGAATAGGGTTTTTCAGGCTCCTTTACAGGGTACTATGAGGGTTTGGGTTTAATCTGTAGGGGCCTAAATAAGGGGCCTTAATTGTTAGGGTTCAGGGTTTAGGGTCCACTTCGGGTTCAGGGTTTAATGTAGGGGCCTTAATGGTTAGGGTGTAGGGTTTAGGGTCTGCTTAGGGTTAGGGGCCTTAAGAATTAGAATACGGTTTTGGGGTCCATTATACTATAAGTACAATAAGGAACCCCCAAAATAGTATAGGTAGTTATTCAGGCTCCTATATTAGGGTTGAGTTCGGGGCCTTTGGCTTCAGATCTCGTCTTCAGGATGCTTCGTTCCGGCCTTCTAGGGTTCAGGCTTGGGAGTTTGGGCCGAGGGTTTAGGGTTTTAGGGTTTTAGGGTTTAGGGTTTAGGGTTTAGGGTTTAGGGTTTAGGGGCTTGGATGTGTGTTTTCGGGTTTGGGCCGGCAGTGCTGGCCGTAAACACTCTGGCTTGTGTGGTGGCCCTGCTTTTGGTCGCAGGATATGGGTTGTGGCTGCTGTTGCCATAGTGCTTTTTGTCGTTGTGGTGGTGGTGGTCGTGGTGGTGGCGGTGGCTAGTGGAGCCACCTTTGTTATCCTGTCCTGTGGTATGGCTGTGTTAGCAGTTTTTGTTTTTTCTAACCTATGGCTATTGTTGCTAATGTCTTTCCGCAGCCTTTCTTCCTTTGGCGATTCGAACTCAACTTTTCACTGCAAGGCTTATTCACTTGGACTCCTTTCCCACTTTTACAGCAATGCCTTCTCTTCCCCGAGAAGCAAAGATGTGCAGGTTTTGCAGGTGGGCGTGCAGTTGTACCCAAGTGACTGGAACTGGAACCTTCGTGGTTCCAGCATCCAAACAACCCTGGCCAGGAGCGGTATGCCATTCTGAAGGCCATGGAGGGGGGAGGTTTCAGACTTCATCGCCGGGCAGCTTAGCCTCGGGTGCCGGGTTACCCTGAGCATGGCCATCATAGGTTCCCTAAGTTTCGAGGAAGCTACGGAGCTGTGGAGTTGAACTACGCCGACATACTTTTGGGATCTTTTGGGCTTATGTTACGGCTATCGACCACTGCAAGGTCCTGGTTTGAACGGCACAACAGGACTTAATATGCCGGAGTTTACCTGCGATCGTCGTCGTTTTCATCGTGGATTCACGGGTTTTCGGTAACCTTCAACCTTCTTTGGCTCCACCTTCATTCGGATATGGGCTGACCATGTTGAGAACCTATACTAGGGTTTGACAGTCCTGCCGCAAACATAGGATTTAGGTTGCAGAAGTCCTGCTGCAATAAAGTGTATAAACCCTAAACCTTCAACCCGATGATGAGAACAGAAAGAACGGTTAGTGCATGTCTTCTGCTGCCAGTGTTATGTGGGATTTCCAGCAAGAGCTGCAGTCGGTTCTGCCGAAGCGGTCGGTTTCCGTTTCGGGGCAGCGTTTGGATTTAGGGTCTTGGGGGCTCTTTGTGGAAGCATTAAACCTTAACACCTAAACTTTGCGGTTGTTGAGGGTCTAGGATTTGGGATTCGCACCCTTTTGCAGGGGCTTGTGTCACCTGAGGAGCGGAAGAATGGAGCCAATAGTGAATTAAACCCCAAACCCCATAATACACCATGAAATGCCACAAGACTGATAAGCACAGCAAATGTCAGGGCCCATAAAATCTCACAGAGACCCTAAGCCCACCAAAAGCCTTGCAAGCTATGCACCGCAATAAAGCCCCATAAAAAGCCCAAAGCCCACCAAAAGCCCTATACTGTCAACCCAAGTCCTTCGAGTGTCAAACTCGATAAAGTCCTTCTGTCTCCCTAACTCTCCAGGTACCTAGTATATAGGGCCCTAGGGGCTCTAGTACCCAAGATAGTAGGTACCTGGGGGGTTAGGGTCTGGTCCAGGACCTCAGTGGAGCTTTCCAGCCAGGCCGCCTCACCGCGCTGCATCTCGGCTTTAGGGTTCAGGGCTTAGGGTTTAGGGATGCCCCATAAGGATTTCCAACGGAGGGTTTCGGGTTCGAGACTTGCCAAACAGAAGTTGCAGAACAGGTCAGAAGCCAGCAACACAAAAGTGTTAAAACCCATTATCAACATGTAAACCTGATGACATCTTGCCTCTGCTGTTTTTCGGGGCGGCGCAGATCTCGGACGCTCTTCGTCTACGTCACTTTGTTCATTAAGTATGATATATCCAAAGTACATACTACGTATAGGCATCATACACACACACTCTCCCTCTATCTATATATATATATATATATATCTGTACAGACACGCACACACACACACACATATATATATATATATACATATATATACATATATACATGTGTATATATATATATAGACAAAAGCCGAAGCGTCTCAGGATGGGCCCCAGTGGTTCCGGCAAGACCACCTTGATGGACCGGGTCTGATTGCAGTTGCTCGCACGGTGGGCTGGTAGAGTTTAGGGTCTAGGTATGACAAGTTTTAGGGTTTGGGCTTAGCCATCACTTGAAGGCATTTGGGTTTAGTTTAGGGCATATGCCCTTCAGGACATTCTTGCCGGTCGCAAGAGCGGCGCTGGTCAGATTGACGGCGAGGCTGGCGACAGAGCATCATAGAATATCCGCGTCGAAAGTGCCCTTGGCATGAGAACTTGCTGGAAGCTTGTCCACCGCTTCTTGCCTCGGGCCGAAACCCCTGCCGATGGAGAAGATGTGCAAGTCGTTTGTGGCCACACGGGGCCTTACACGGTAGCAGCATGATGAGTGTGTGTATAAGGCTATCCCTCAATCGTTAGAAGCATTGGTATAATGGGCACAGGTCCTCTACGGAGGCAGTGCGGCATCTGCCGGGGTGCTCAAGCATCTGTGTCCTCCGGCAGCATCTGGTGGGGCTTTCAGTTTGCTGCCTGCTTTAAGCAAGCTCTAGAAAAATCTTGCACCTTACCAAAGCCAAGGGCCCTTTTGGAGTCGGGTTTGGCTTGGAGGTGTTCTCTGTGGGTTTGTTTGCTGTCTGTCTGGATGTCTGTCTGTCAGCATGTATGTATGTGTGTATGTACGTATGTACGTAGGTATGTAGCTGTGTATACGAGTAGGTCCTGTGTGCATGGATACGTGCATGCAGGCAAACATGCTTGTTTTGGCGTGTGTGCGCAAAAAAGTCCATGGATCGCCGCCTCTATTTTCTATCGGTACATTCGTGTAAGTGTTGGTATGCTTCTCTGACTCGCGGCTTCCGTTTTCTGAGTAGCCATCTCCCGATTGACCTCATTCGCATTGCATGGACAAATACCTGGAGATCACAAAAGCACGGGGCCTGCCCCTCTCTCTCTCTCTGTCTCTATCTCTCTCTTCAAGAGACCGACAACCCTCGAAATATTTCTGAGCCTCGAGGCTGAATACAGATGCCTTGTGGCACCTAGGTGGCTACGTGGAGCAGTTTGATACCTTGCTTGGCCCCTCGCTCAGACATGGCCTTGAGTGGAGCCGATGATAGCCGAGTAAAGACTGCATTACGGCAAGCATGTAAACGTCTACAGAGTAGTTAATGTAACTAATATAGGGGCCTCAATAATTACCTATATTATTTTGGGGGTTCCTAGCTGAAAATTATACTATAAAATACCCCAAAACCCTCTTCCAAGGCCGCTACATTAATTATGCTTGGATTGACTGGTTAGGTCTTCTTGGAGTCTTGATAGATTTCGCGAACCCTGCCAGGATCCGCATGGGTTTGTCGGTCCTGTGGCACGGTTTACACTTTAGGCCTCCCGGTACAGGTAGCCAGTCTAACATCCTGTGCTTTAGGACGGGTATGCCCTGGTTATGCCGGAGTAGGCTACTGAAGCCAGCACCCCGTGGTGCAGAAACTTCGAATATCAACCACCATAGAGCCTGGTTTCGGGTACGGTATATGTTATATGGATAACATGTTCTAAAGTGGAGGCTCTATCATGAGCAACCTTACAGATTACACCCTGAAGCCCTACGTCAATCCTAAAATCGTAAACTCCAGATCCCCAGACCCAAAAGCCCTAGAGCCTTGAACCTTGAAATCCTTGTGTAAAGCCGAAAAACTCTTTAAGCTATCAAAACCTACTTTTTTGTAGGGTCCCTATAAATTCTATACTGGGGCCTAGGGTTTATAACAGAACCTACAAAAAATTAGGTTATGGTAGTTTAAGGCTGTTGATATGGGCAGCCTTGAAGCGCAATATTCTGGGAGTCTTTCAGTACCCAGATCTTGAAGATCAACTGAAGAACCCTCCGCGATGCTTGCTTTGTCTGCTTCTTGTCATCATAGTCTCCGCTTTTCTAGCTGTAGCATGTGCATCCTTTTCCATTGCGCCGTTGTGTTAAGTGGACTTCCTGCTTTTTGCCGGGCTTCTTGGCACTTGACAGGCGAACTGACGGTCGACCAGATGCTCATGTACACAGCCGAGATGAAGCTCCCGCGTTACTTGCAGAAGGCGGACAAGCGCAAGCGAGCAGCTTGACTTTGAGAGAGGGTCTGGTTTGAGCGCAAAGTCTTTTTGCGCTTCCCTTGCAGGTGAAGGTAGACTAGTGATATGTAGAAGCTCAAGGAATACTGAATACTGCCGCAAAGTGTTCAGAGTTCTTGGGACCCCGGCTGACCAGTAGACAGGTTCAATCAAGGCGGTCATTGGTTTTCGAATTAATTTATTGTACCTTAGACTACCACGACCTACTTTTTTGTAGGTTCTTATTATAAACCCTAGTATAGAATTTATAGGGACCCTACAAAAAAGTAGGTTTCGGTAGCTTAAGGTAAAGTATAGTAGTACCCTTTTGGTACCCTTATGGAATCCTATGAGGTCCTCCTCACATCAAGATCTCCGCTCGGCTCCAGCCTTTGAGCCCCAAGCAGCCCTAATAGAGGGGGCCTGAATGATTACTTATACTTTTTTGGGGGTTCCTTATAATAATTATAGTATCATGATTACCTACACTGTTTTGGGGCCAGACCTCCGTTCTTTCCGGACCCTGCTGGAACCCGGCTACAGCCGGGTGGCGATGCCGGATTACGGTTTTCCCCGCGGTCTTGGCCAAGCAGTTTTTGTTATTATGTGCATGGCTCATCATGATGAATGCACGAAGGATCGGGAAGGTTGTGGGGGCCACATGTATGTTTGCCACACTGTAGCGGTTTCGTAATGTTTCGTTCAAGAAGCAACTGCGGATCGGACGTATAAATGCTCTGCCGTGCCGCAGGATCCTTACTACAACAAAATCCTTCAGAGCACTGACCGCAACAGGAAGGCAAGTAAGTAAGCCCCCAAACCTTGAACCGAAAGCTAAGGTGGATTCCGTGATCAGTCAGCTGCGCCTGGAGAAGTGCCGCAACACCGTCATCGGCAATGTGCTACGACGAGGTATCGCCGATTGGCAGGTCTTGTAGGCCTGTGCAACACGCACTTTCTCGTATCTTCATGATATTGGCCCCGTGAACTCATCAACACCCAACGCTTTCGGTCCACAACTTGGTGCTTTTGGTGCTTGCAGCTTCGAGCTGCAGCTATCAATGACTGCTCTTCGATACCAGCTCCAGAAAAGGTTGTTGGGGTGGTCTTGGTAAACCCTGAACCCTGACTGCATGACGTTTTCGCAAGTCGCTTTTTCCTTGCTTGTCCTAGCTTGCCCAGACTCCTTGGCCCATCACCCGCGAGAGGGACTATTGGGGATTCCACACCCTAAACTCCCTAAACCCTAAATCCCTAAATCCTTAAACCCGAAACCCCTAAATCCCCAAACCCTAGACCCTAAACCCTAAATCCCAAAAAACCCCTAGACCCTACACCCCCAAACCTCTACATCCCTAAACCCCAGACCCTAAACCCTAGATCCCTAAACCCTAAATCCCTAAACCAAACCCCCAAACCTCTACATCCCTAGACCCTAAACCCTGCGACTAAGCTGAGCTTGATGTGCATGTTCTGAGACGTCACGTTACCCTGCATTGCGGGCTTGTCCTTGCTAGGTAGGAGGCAAAAAACCCTGCGACTCGCTCAGCCATGTAGGAGGCCAAAAAGCTTCGTATCGACTCTTCAACCAGGGGCCCTTAAAGCCCGGAGTGTTTGAGGATCCTAAAACTGTAGGGTTTAGGGTTTAGGGTTTTGGCTTTGTCAGTGTTGCCGTCCTTTAGTTTTTGAAACTTCCGAGTTTCAAAAACTTCCGAGTTTGTTAGAAGGATTGGTGACACATGATCGTAATGCATGACAGGTAGAGCCTCTAGTTTCCACCTTCCTGCGTGGCTCCATCTTTTTTCTTTTGAGTTGAACTCTGTGTGTGTGTGGGCCTTCGCAACTCAATATGCAAGTCAGCTTCCGTGTTTCGCTTCCTCGTGCGTATCTGCATGTAACCTAGGACAAACCTCCCCTAAAGCCCCTGTGTGCCATATGGGGGTTTCCGAAAATAAGGGACCCAATATAGTACCCTAAATAGTAGGATCCTCATTATAAGGACCCCTACATAAGGTACCCCTTATTTTCGGAAGCTCCCACATAGACCTAAACCCTAAACCCTAAACCCTAAACCCTAACCCTTATAGACAGCAGGGTGCAGAAAGCCATGGCAAAGCTCCGGCAGGCATATCCGGTGGTCAGGCGAAGCGAGTGAACGTCGCCCTCTCCTTGATCTCGCAGGTCGAGCGGGGAACGAGAGGAAGAACAAGAGAGACAGAAAGAGGTGGGTTTTGGTTTTGGGAGCTTATGTATACGGTTTTTTGAGCGAGTGAGAGCGAGACAGACGGAGAAAGGGACAAGAGAGAGAAGGTTTGGGGTTTCGTCGACATAGGATAGGAGGAGAGAGACAGAGAGAGAGAGAGAGAGAGAGAGAGCGATGCAACAAGGCAGTCACAGGCAACGTGGACGCACTGGCTCGAAGCCGTGCATTTCAGAATACCAGTCCTCTCCCACACCTCAAGTGGTGCTGAGCTGTCAACAGACGCTTCCCCAGGCGGAATCTATTAATCGCAAGCCTTGAGCCCGAGCCTGAAAATCCGAAATCGGCAAAATCGCACCGGAGAACCAAACCCGAAAACATCCAACCCTGCAAGCCACCCAATCTCCAAGCTCTCCTCGTATCATCCTTCTTGGACGAATACCCGTACTGTAACAAAAAATAACAGATCCCTTTGTACGCCCATAGAACCGTTATAGGGATACTAAGTTTTCAAAGGCACCATTGCTTGCAGTTCATCGCTGAGGGTTTGATGCAGTGAAGTCACCAAAACTTTTGTTGTGTTTCAGAATGTCCCACGCAATGCGGCCTGAGTCCTTGCTAGGTGGGGTCAAAGAACCCCGGAATTCTCCTATCAAATTGAGACGACAACGAGAAGATGAGCATGGACCCTGAACAAGGATGACACACACAAATCGAGAAGTGTACGGCGTGTCCACCCCCCCCCCCCCCCCACCCGGCAAAGCAAATAAATGAATAAAAGAAGAAATCTGTCCAGCCTTTGGTGGTATTCTTGGACGAGCCCACCTCTGGACTCGATTCGAAGATGGCAAATGAGGTGTGCCCGGCCCCCAGAGAGCTTTATGGGTTTATGGGATTTGGGTGAAAGTGTATAGTTCGGAAAAGGGCAGCTTGAAACCGCAAGAATAGCACCATGTTGATAGCATTGCTGTTTTGTCGTTGAGGGTGGTCTTATGGTTAAGTTAGGTAGGTGGGTAGGTAGGTAGGTAGGTAGGTAGGTAGGCAGGTAGGTAGCTAGGTAGCTAGGTAGGTAGGTAGGTAGGTAGGTAGGTAGATAGGTAGGTAGGTAGGTAGGTAGGTAGGTAGGTAGGCAGG